GCCTCCAAAGGGGCAGGCGCAAGGGAAGCCATTTGGCTAACAATATTAGTGTGTGAATATGAATTGGAGCTGAGAGTGAGTAGCTCACTGATGCCAATGAGGAAAACTAATTGAAGTAAATCAATGAGAGGGCTTGGGTGTTGGGGGGCCCCTAGTTTCTCAGAAGGGTTGACCTGAATTCATGTGACAGCTTCCTTTCCCAGGAATGAGACAATGCAGCAAGATGAGCAGCCACCAGCATCTGTGTCTACCTTGAAGTACAGCTATTGGAAAGGGTTGCTTGCTTCTGACATGTTAAGTGGGGTGTCAGGCTGAAGCACACCAAGTGGCCAAACATTAATTAATCATCATTATAAGTGAGCCAGGGTAGGTTCAATTGGAGCCATTTGTTGTTTGAGTTGCATTCTGTTTGAGTCAGCTGTCCATCCAGTGACTCATTTACTTTTCCACTCATTACTGCTTGAGGCCCAATGGTGAGCTCCTGGTGGAACACAGAGAGAGGGGGGTGAAGCAGGTGCTTGCTCCTGGGTCAAGCCCAGTGGACATCATCTACAGGCAGAAGGTCCACATGATCAGAATGGCTGAGACACCCCTCACAGCTGAGACTCTTGGTTGGCCTGGTTGGGAAGTGCTGGTGCTCTTGCAAACTCAAGACAAGCAATAGCCAAGGATCACTATGACCCTGGACAGCATCTTTGACCACATTGATGGGATTCAGCAGTGGTGGGCAAAAGTTGAGCCTTGGGTTGCAATATTCAATTAATTAGTTGTTCTTAAGCAATTATAATATAACACAATAACAGGGTGCAAACTACCTGCAGGATGGATTGACACCATGCCTCACCCACAATGACCAAACACAATTCAAGAGCAGCATGGCACAGCCAGGCAGAAGTTGCAGTGCAGATGAATGGCATGCAGACCTGGGCCACCAACTATGTCATGGAGATGTTGGGAAGCTTGGCTTACAGCACAGGTGATGTGTTTGTTGCTGCGCAGGCCCAATTATCATGATTCTAAGTGTAAGTCAGTCAACATCTGTGTGGCTGATTGCACTAGATCTTATTAGAAGACATGGAGTCAAAGGCAAGTAGCTGGCTGCTCACTGGGGCTGGGCCTTACTTAGTTGTGCCATGTGCTGGGATGAACCCTCATAGTGTTCCAAAAGCCTATAACTGACTGGTTGATTTAGCAGCTGGGCTGAGGCACACCAGGCACACATTGGCAAAAAGAGCAGGTGGTGAACTTGGTCAAGCAGCAGCCCAGTCCAGGCAGGTGGTCAGCATGGGACAGCACATATTAAACCAACCCAGCATAAATTAATAGATCACAAAACAGGGGGTGCCACATGATGTGTTATGTTATTGATATTATGTTTTATTAGTGGCATTTGGTTGTGTAGGGGTTCACTGCTACAGTGGATCTCACAGTCGATACACTCTTCTCCAAATGAAATGTGGCAGGAGCAATTCCTCCACCTGCTGATGTCTTGGTGCCTGTATTGTACCCAGTGGCAAGAGAGGAAGGATCATCAGCAGCATCCCACTCTGCTGCCAGGCTGCAATCTGTGGCATCAGTAGTATCCAGAATCATTTAAGTGCATCTAAAGTGGTGTGTAATGTAAGTGAAACCTAAAGCCACCCAAGGTCCATCAATGAATAGAATAACTATAAAAGAGCTGTGTTTGTGTCCCAGACTAACTGTGAAGCTGAGGACTCCTCTGCTACCTTGGTACTTGGCCAAGACATGCCTGAGAAGAAGGGACAGAAGGTGCTTTTGTTGTTTGATGTTCAACAGATCATGTCATTAATTAAGGGGCCAGGTGGCCAAACATTGAAGAAGTGATCAATTATCAATTGCAGTATTCAGATTCAGTGCAGTCAGTGGGGAAACCAAGGTTCTGAGTGACAATGAACCATGTCATGTGAAACAAGGTGCCTATGGTCAACACCCTCTACAGTGCTGCATTGAATTGGCCAAAGAAAGTCCAGGTCCCTCTTCCACTGGTTGCCAAACAACCAGCACCTCATGGCCCAGTGGTAGTGGCACAGGCAAAGCAACCCTCAGGCCAGCCATCATCATTGGCACTCAATGCCCAGCAAGTGCAGGAACATGCACAACAACTTCTAGCACAGCAACAAGCTGCTGAACAGGCAAGCCAGGCCAACACCTTGGCCCAAACACAAGCTGCTGAAGCAGCAGCAGCTTTGGCAGTGGCACAAGCACAGCTGAAAGCCCAATCACAAGCATCAGCATTGGCACAAGTACAGGCACAAAAGGGGGCACAAGCAACAGCCTTGGCACAAGCACAAGCAGAGCTGAAAGCTCAATCTGAAGCAGCAGCAGCTTTGGTAAAAACCCAAGCACAGCATGGGGCAGGGCTACAAGCTCAAGCACAAGCAGCAGCTGTGGCAAAAGCCCATGCAGAGCTTAAAGCCAAAGCTGGGGCACAAGCCCAGGCCCAAGCAAAGGCAGCAGCATGGGCAAAAGCACAGTCAGAGCTGACAGCTCAAGCTGGTGCATCAGCATTGGCAAAGGCTCAACAGGAGGCTGTGGCACAAGCAAAAGCAAAGCTGAAAGCTCAAGAAGAAGCAGCAGCTTTGGCACAAGCCCAGCAGGATGCAGAGCTGAGGGCCCAAGCACAAGCAATAGCTGTGGCACAAGCCCAAGCAGAGCTGAAAGCTCAACATGAGGCAGCAGCCTTGCAACAAGCCCAGCATGAGGCAGAGCTAAGGGCTCAAGCTGATGCAGCAGCCTTAGCACAAGCACAAGCAGAGCTGAAAGCTCAAGAAGAAGCAGCAGCTTTGGCACAAGCCCAGCAGGATGCAGAGCTGAGGGCCCAAGCACAAGCAATAGCTGTGGCACAAGCACAAGCACAAGCAGAGCTGACAGCTCAAGCAACAGCAACAGCATTGCAACAAACCCAGCATGAGGCAGAAGCTGGCTTTACACCAGTACAACCAGGGAGTGCTGATGATGAGCCAGGAGATGGCACACAGCCAGTGTTTGATGAACCAGAAAATGACAGCCAAACCACCCAATCTACACCACAAAAGTTGAGGGAGGAACAGAAGTCTATGACCAGGATGGAAGTGGGAACCTTGACTAAGCTGAATTAACCTTCTACTCACATGGGACTCAACTCATTTTGCCTGCCCGCTTGGCAAGGAACCCATTTTGATGCCTTGGAGAAGGCTAAGGAGTTAAGACAGAAGGCAGCTTGGCTGGCATGGATGACATGCACCTGGGTCAATGTGTTGAAAGTGCCAAGAAGAGTTTGTGAGGTATACATTATGTAAAAGAGCCATTCATGCAAGGTTGGTGTGGGGGTGCTTGGGGTTGACAGTGAGCACCTGCCAACTTGAGGCAAAGAAGGCAGCTACTGGTGGTGCATCATAATTATGATGGTGGGGCTTGGCTTGGGGGGAGCCAGGCATGATGGTGAATGGTGTTGTGGCCTAGGCTGAAGGACCAGGCTCACAGGAAAGCCAAGGTTGTATCAGCCAGCCTTATTCTAGTGAAGGGTTGATTGCTTCCAATGGGGTCCCTGCCACTTCAAGTGAATGACAAAAACCATATTGTTCCTATTGGTTTAAAATAAGATATGCCATGAAGATATTCCAATCAGCCAATAATGTAGCTGTGAAAACCATCCAGGGGCCCTTCAGTAAGCAATTGTTTGATTTTGGTGTGCTTAGCAGTGTCTGGTGGCTCAGCAGTAATGTCACTCCAGTGTGTGCTACCACTGGTTCAATCTCAAATGCTGGATGCCACAGGGCCCAGGTAGCAAGGCCTTGACAGAGAAAATATGTGCTTCAGGAATGCTGCACCAGACAAGCATAAAGTGTTATGTGATTGTTTGCAGTCTTTCAGGAACTCTGTTTTGATTCTGTGCATTAATGTTCTTCAGTTAGCTCTTGCTGTCAGATGTGTAAGTAAACAGAAACCAAACCTGCAAGTAAGTTGAATACATGTCTGTTCTTCAGGTAACTCCTGCTACAGAAATGCAATCATAAATGTAAGTAATCAAACATGTATGTATATTTCATTGTTGATGGAAGCTGGCCTGTGATGTTGGGGGGTGGTGTGTGCTGAAGAGTGTGGTTCATTGGTAGCAGCCAGCAAACCAAAGCTCTGCTGTTGTGCACCTGAAAGGCTGCTCCTTGGCATGGATTCAGTGGGTGTGGGCTGGAATGTGCTGCTGGTGTCTATGTTGTTGACCTGTTTGGTTCAAAAAAAATGTTGACATGAGAAATATAAATATATTGTTGACATGCTTGGGTATATATGCTTGGGTATTGTTGGCAGCTGTGCAGTTGTGCAGCAACAATTATAAACCTACAAAAAGGCATTGGTATACCAGCAAAATATTGACTGTGTGGTGTTTATTGTTAAAACTCATGGGATACATAAGTGTGCCCAAAGAGTGTGAGGGGGGGGTGGCCCCAAAGTGGGAAACCAAAACATATGAAAACCACCAGCAAACACAAAGGGCTGTGAAAAAAATGGGCAGAGTTTTGTTTGCAATAGCAAATTTAGTAAACTAATATTTTTAGCACACAGGCAATCCCCAAAAACAGGAAAAGTTTAGAAAAGCAAGGAAAAACATAGAAAAGCAAGGAACACATTAGAAAGGCAAGGAACAGATTAGAAAAGGCAATGACCACATTAGAAAGGGAACCACAAGAGACCAAAACTGGGAAGGAATAGCTAAATAATTACACAGAATAGCTAGATAATTACACAGAAACATCCATAACAGCCAAGAAGGACTAAGGAATACCAAACAAAGCTGGAGGAGCCCAAACCTGGGAGTGAATACCAAGGTCCTTACAATTACAATGGCGTGGTCCTGGAGAATCCAGGCTGACTGGCATGGACAGAGGCTGACTGGCTGATTTGCAAACAGTGAAATGAAGAGTGAATAGAGTGACTTTGGGGATAAGCAACACACTGACTGGACCAGCATGGAAACTCAGACTCATGACATGCCCAGACTCATGACATGCCCCAGGACCTGGAATGGACATGATGATGGCTGGTGGCACTCCAATAATGATGATGGTTGGTGGCATGGATCTGGATCCAGTTCCTCCTGGCAGCATGGGGCTGCTTGGCATGGAGATGGTGGAGGTGGAGAGAGTCCACACATGGCAGCTGAGAGGGTCATCAATGACAAGGATGATATGGAGATTGACAATGGTAAAACTGATGCTGATGGAACTGGCGATGACAAGCCTTCAATACCACCTGACCATCCTCCTCCCTCCAGGGTGCACCCTTTCCCTTTGCTTCCAGCATGGTCTAAGAGCTTGCCAGACCAAAGGAAGCTTTCCAAGCCTCTGCCATATGTTGGCCCTGGCCAGCCAGATGAGATGAGGCTTCTCATGGGTGTGGAAATGGAGGCCAGAATGCGCAATGCCTGCATGACCAGCCATGAGAAGCATATGCTGCAAGTCTGGATGAAAAATGATGGGAAGAAGATGCAGGCAAACTGCCAGAAGGTGATTCAGACCTTTGGCAAGAAAGGTGGTGGCAGGGCATCCAGGGATTTGCTTGCCAAGAACTTTCATGAGGCAGCATGGCAGCCTGGGCAGGTGGTGGAGGTGAACTCATGTGAGTACACAGTGCTGAAGCACATGATGCTGTCCCACCAAGTGGCATGGGGCCCAGAGTTTGACAAGGCTGAGTCAGTGAGATGCTGGTGCCTTCCTGCAAGTTCACTGATGCCAGCAGGATGCATTCACTTCCAGGAGGCACTGCATGTGATGAAGCCATATGAACAGCACAGGTGTGCTTCATGCTGTTGGTGCCTGAGGTGTGGCAAGAAACTAGGTACAATTACTGGAACTTTTGCATGTAGAGTAGGAGTAGGTGGCTAAGTATGGCTAGGCAACCTCACAACCTTACAGCCCCTTCCTCACAACCTCACAACCAAGGACTTGCAAGGTGGCACTGCACAAGGCTCTCCCTCCTTTGTTCCTCAATGTGATGGGCGATGACCTTTGCTCTTGCTCACCTGCTGGCCTGTTTGGGCTGCAGGACAATGTTGATGGGTGGGAGCACAACTATTTCACCCAGGACCAGATTGCTGCAACCTACAAGAAGAGCAAGGAGGCTAAAGAGGCCAAGCTGCAGAAGAAGAGGGCAAGGGCCAATGCCAATGATGAGGCCCAATGGCCAAGAACCAAAGCATTGTTTTAAGAATGAATAGCACTTCTGAGAGGTAGTAAGGGTTGTTGTGGGGATGGGACTGGCACTGAT